TCATATATAATATATATAACAGTAGTCATATATATTTTGGTACCATATCTGTTTTTGCTGCCATGTCTCAGACTGTTTTCTCTTACTATAAGATTATTTCCTCTCTTCTGTAAATCCCCTCATGGGGGTGGGGGATGCAAAGCCTTTTCTGCCTGTGGTTCTCACCGGTCAGTTATTTGCTTATTTTATGGGACAGGTCTTGGAACATATCTTGGTTCAGCCTTGTCATATTCTCCCAGCAAGAGCGAAATAGCCTCACTGATGTACCCTGTGTTCACCCCTCTGCTGAATCCCTTCATCTATAGCCTGAGATACAGGGACATTCTTAGTGCCCTGAAGAGGCTCCACAGTTGGAGATTCTAATTCCAGGACATACAACATCTATTTGGAATGTGGTTTTTAAAAGGTGGTAAAGCAGAAGACTCAAACTTCATCCACAAATACTGACTCATTCATTGTATTCCATAAGTCCAGTGTGTGGAATTTATCATGTTTCAGAACAGAATCCTGACTGGCTGAGAAATGTTGAGATTAAGGTTCTTCATATGTGCAAAATTGATCTGAGATGGTGAAAGTTTTGGAGATTAATAAGAATGATGAATATGCAAAAACAAAATTGTAGTTAATGTTACCAAGCTGTGCACCTAAAATTGGTTAAAATGGTACATTTGGTGACATACATCTTAATGCAATAAGCATCAATAAAGCTAGAGAATTCTGATATGTGCAACTTTTGGCAACTTTGTATCCTGTAGTTAGAATATTCTTAAAATTACAATTTTTAAATTATGAGTTTCCTTGTCTTCCTTCAACCTATCTATATTTCTATCCTATCTTATATCACCCTCCCCAGTCTTTGAGCTCTCCTTCCTAAGGGATGTGATTGGGCTGAAGTTGCATCTTCTTATAATTGCTTCAGGCTGAGTAGGATGGTAGGGGGGCACTGCCCTTGACAAGTTAGGAAACAAAAGCCTGACTCCTGCTTATCTAAAGGAGACAAAGAATGATGGGTTTTCTTGTTTGATCAATCATCATCCTTTGTTACCCTAGAAAAAAATCAAATTAGTGAGTCAATGAATTTTCAATCTCATTTTTTAACCAAGTTAAATAAGCAAGTATCAAAAACTAAAAGCACAATATTGGTGAACAGTGCTTCAAAATCTCTGTTGAATTCAGACAAAAATCAGGCAGCATTTTATTTCTACATTATTTAAGGTGT